TCTACAACCCCTATCTTCACCACCTTCTTGTCCATCACATCAGCGTCCCACCATCAGTTCTCATGTAAAACAATATGCTCTGCACTTTCTACGCCCAACTCCTCATACCCAACATAAAATGATCACTCGTGCCTAAACAAATTCTCTAAAACCCAAGGCCTTCATAACCTCCACAGACTCACCACCACTTACCGAACCTAAACACATCCCTCAAGCACTTAAAAATCCATATTGGTTTAATGCAATGAGACATGAATTTAATGCTTTAATGAGAAATAAGACTTGGACACTTGTCCCTCGTCCCACTAACACTAATGTTGTCAGCAACAAGTGAATTTTCAGAATCAAGAGACATTCGGATGGCACTATTGAACGCTACAAAGCCCGCCTAGTTGCTAAAGGGTTTAGCCAATTTGTCAGAGAGGGTGGACTTCATCCAAAGAAAAACAAAACAATCCTTCTTTTTCTAGGTTATAAAATCGGGATTTGGAAGAGGAACAAGGTTTGGTATTTATGCCCCATTTTTGCTGGCAGTAGGAGGTAGGCTCTCAGCAGGAGGAGAGGGATTTAAGACGAAAGAATTAAGATCAAAACATTCAAGAGCTGAGACAATTGTTGTATGCCAGAGAACATAGTTGTGTCGATCAGGATTTATGATGATGGAGGGAATTTGGAAATTGAGATTAGTTGAGGCAATTTGGGCTGTAGCAAGGAGTTCTTGGTTTGTAGGTTGCGACATGGTGGAATTGTGCAAGACAGATGAAGAAAAAAATGAATTTTAAAGCTTTGATACCATATGAATAAACAGGAATATGAATTGAATTTCTCTGTATGTATTCCATCTGTTTACAAGTGTTTATATACAAATAGAAAATGGAGCTGTTGCTTAACATATCTCCACAGAATCAGGAACTATATGCACGTGAACAACAAAGACTAAAGACTAGGACTATTTGACCACGTTACAAAGACTAATTCATGATTTGTTTATTAGCTGTTATTAATCTAAATAAAACAAGTAATAGAAAGAAGGATTTTCTATAGTTTTGCAAGACTAGAAACTTAAGCAATTAACTAACACTCAAACAAAAACTAACAACTAGCAGCTAAGGAGATTGAAGATAACTAGATTCAATATTAAAAGAGACTTCTGTTCAGGTTCAACTCACTTATTCCTATGGTTGACTTTATGGCAAGTGCAATGGATTAAATTTTCATTGGTTATCGATTAATGTGATCGGGTTCATGTTCACTATTACTAATCCTTAGAAAACAAATCAATTCAAACAGTGGCCAATTGGTTAAACTAATGAGTTTCCTAGTTTATTGATTCGGGTTTAGTAAGACTTGTAGTTAGCTAACTATATTACTAATTCAATTAACTTCCTGTATGGTTGTTCGTCACACAAGCTCACACATTGAGTTACCTATTTTCTAATTAACCCCTAGTTTCATGTTCACTGTTCCTAGGCATATAACATTGTTTTTAAATAAATTATATGAGACAAACAATTAAGAGATGTTTATGCAACTTAATAGACTTGATAATTAACAGAAAAAGGTTATTGTCAACACATAAGAATCTTTAACAAGCTTAACAAAACAAAATTGAGACAACCGTCACTTTCTGGTCAAGTCAAAGTCAAATAAAGTCAACAAGTCTAACCGGTCAACTCAATTAACCCTTGTATATTACTATATTAGGGTTTACATTATGGTTATGATTGTACAACTGACTATCTTAATGCAAAGTATCACTTTGAGTTCTCACGTGTCCAGAAAATTTAAACCCTAATCATGGAAAATGATATAACTATTCAATAAAATACTATTACATACCCTTCGGGGACGTATAAAACTCATAACAAGGATTATCGGGTCTTACAAACCTTGCATTTCGAGGCTAAACACTAACAAAAGTCACAAATAAAGTCTCTCTAAATCTCTCTCACTCTATCTATCTCTCTCTCTCTCTCTCCCAAATCTCTCCCAAATTCTTTTTCAACTTTTTATAATCATCGGAGGCATCCCGATCCATAACTTAGGCAAAAACACTCAAAACGGGAAGATTTCTCGAAAACAGCCATGTAGGGCCGAAACCACTTTTAGAACCGAAACCTACTATAAGGACCGAAATCAGCTATTTAGGACCGAAGCCGAAGGTCCCCTTTCGGACCGAGACCCTGACAAGCCGAAACAGCTCCAAGCGAACGGAACCACTGAGACCGAACCCGAAGCTTACTTTGCCTCCGTCTTTGCCTTCCCCTGTGCTTCTCACTTGCCTTCGCTTTCGGTTACTGTTAGCAAGTTCGCCTACGAGAACCACCTAACCCTCCCTCTCGGTTCTTAAGGACCGAACCTCGCAACTTTGCTCCTATTTCCCGGTTTTCGACCATCTTCGAGTTTTAAGCTTGTTTTTCATGATTTTAGCATGGGATTTTCACCCAAACTCATATTTTGGCATATAAGACCCTATATATTCATATTTTAATCACTTTTATGGGGAAAATCTTAGTCTAAGAATAATATCTATAATGTAAGCTTTTGAGTTGGGTGTTAACTTTTCCATAAAACTACGACACAAGCTACCTCCCATACAACCCTATGACAACCTCCAATCACTATTCATCCCTACCTAGTCAGCTATTTTTCCTCTCACATACTTCCCTCCAGCAAGATATATTGAACAAGGGCTGGAAAACCCTTACCTCTCCTTCCACATTATTCACTCTCTCACCAAAAATCAAACCCATTTCTCTCTCACTTTCTCTCTCTAAACTCGAGATTCAAGGCTGTTCTTGAGCATTAACCTTCACATTTGGTAATTATTTTCATCCTACATTTGAAAATTCTTCACACCTCCACTCAAATCATGAACCTCTTACACAAATATCGCCATATTTGTTCTTAGATCTTCAACTCTCCAAGCATTTACCAAGTGTTCTTGCCTTGATAACCTCTCTTCTTCCACATTTATCTCAGAGAATAACTCAAGGTGAGTTCATACCCCTACATTTTCATGTTTTCTTCAAGTTTTAAGGGGGGGGGGGGGGGGAGGGGATACAAGTTAAATCATCTTAACACAACTCATACTCATACTTCAGCTTTTCACAGAAAAGTTGAGTCCTATTCACGGACTGTTTTACCATCTTAAACGTAATATCTTTAAAAAATGTTTAATATGCAAGTATTTCAGGTTTATACCTTTCTAATGACTACTTGAACATCTCCATACAATTTTTCTACAATTTATGGTGATTTTTTACAAAATTGAGTTTCATTTCAGAAATGATTTTGGACCAGCTTGTGAATATGAACATTTCCACACAAGTTAGAGACTTCTAAAGATCATAATAAAAATTATGGAAAAACTATACATATTTTCTAAACTCTCAGAGTTTACGGATTTAGTTTTCGACTTCGTATGATTTTTCTAACACTACTAGAAAAAAGGCATTTTGCGACGCTCATTACACATCGTAAAACGCTCAGACGACGCGCAAATGCGCGTCAAGGAAGGCCCTGTCATAACGAGAGACGACGCACATTTATGACACACAATGTGTATCATTAAAGCCGCTGTCAAGAAAGGTCATGTCATAAATGAAGATGACACACATTTTTGCGTATCGTAATTTTTATTTTATTTTTTTAAATTATTTATAGGTTTACTAATTTTCAAATTAAATTTGCATTTCATGTCTCATAATAGAAAATAAAATACCATATACAAAAAATACAATCCATTGCACAAAAGTTAATGTCATACAAAATACAAAATAAAATACAATAAATAAGAAAGATAATTCATTGCACTAAAATGTCAAATACAAATAATCATCGCTAACTATATAACCTAATACTACATTGCTATTAAGGGTCATCATCATAACTCACTGAAGGTCTTGGAACAATGATCTCATCATCAACTCTTACACCAACCTTGCTTTAGTAGATGACTTTCATGCAATCAATATTGAAATAGATGTTGCTCGAGCCACCATAGATGCAGCCCGAACTTACCGAGCTCCAACTTCCCTGACCAAAACCCAAAACCAAACAAACACCATATCAGACACAATATTTAAATCAAAAATAAAAATGTAACGAATAGAACCTTGAAAATCATAAAACAAAAACTTAAAATTTACATGAATTAACCTTACTATATAAGTGCTCCAACCTTGTGTGGGCCCAATTCCTTGAGAATGAGGAAGAAATATTAGGTGATTTGTAGAAAAAGATGGAACCTGAGATAATTTCTTGAAAGATTCATTCATTTATCTCCTTCGATAACTCTATGTATGTCTTGAGATAATCAAATCAAATCAAATGTTTCTGAGTCAGATTAAATTTTTAAAGATTATTAAACATACCCAGTTGCTAGGAATAACCAACCAACAGGAGAATTTAAAAGAGACAAATAATAAGCAAGAGGACTTTAATTAAATAAAGTACATTATTACCTACAATTTTGCTTTCTCAAGCACAACTTTTCATAATTCAAATCCGTACTTTAACATGACAATAAAACTCAAGGAATAATCAACTGAAGAAATCATAATCATACTTACTGCATAAGAAACACAATTTTTCATTTGAATCCAACCCTAGACCTCCCCTCCTTCTTCTTCTTCCATGTTTGTACAGTGCTACTGCAACAAAAAATCAAAACTATATTAAAAAAATTAATTGCAAGCTAAATATTGAAGAAAAAAACTCAGTGCCAATTAGTTTTCTTGGCAGCTGAAACTTGCAAGGGCATAATGGTAATTTTCTAACCCAATTAGAAGTGATTGTAAAAAACAAAACTCTCGATGCCAGTTAGTTTGAAACTTACAAGGGCAAAATGGTAATCTTTTTTCCTGCCTACTAAGAAACATATTTACAATTTAAGCCTAGGCTAGCCCTTTTCATATATATGATAAGAAATGACATGTGACCTTTTTTATGCAGCTTTCATGGCCTAGTGTCCATACGGGAGGAGTGTCTAAAAATGATCAGTCAGGTGGACAAAAGGGCCCTGAGGTTGCTTCATCCGGTTGGGGTCCTCTGTAATTATAAAAATAAAAGTAAATACTATTAACTACAGGGAACAACAAGCAACATACTTTATTCTCACTACCAAGTACCAATATTGGCAATGTATTTGTAAGATGACTCACTTTAGATATAAACTATTCAACGATTTATTTTCAAGAAGTGCTTTAGCAAGACCTGAGAATCCCTGCAAACAATGCCAATTAAAAAGTAAGAAATATGTTATTAGTTTTTTATAAAATAAGATGAAAAAGAAAAAAAAAATTACAGAATAATCAATCAAATTGTTGTTGAGGTCAATTGTCCTCAAGGTTGAGTTCTTCTTTAGCAACTCAGCAATGGCCTTTGCTCCCTGCAACATGGAAATACATTAGAGTCTTTCACACAACAATTAACATGTTGATTTTTTTAAAAAAAATAATAACAATAAATAAATAAAAAGCTAACCTCATCACCTATATTAGTACTATTTAGCTGGAGCTTCTGAATACCACTATTATCCACCAGTATATCACATAAAACCTGCATATAAAAGCACATATATTATTCGGTAATTATAAACATCCAAAACCTAAAATATTAAACAACTAATGGTACAAATTAAAATCCAAGAATTAGTTCACCTTAGCTCCTTCATCCCCAATACTGTTTCCTGATAAGTTAAGAACCTTTAGAGTAATGTTTGATTGTAAAATACCATCAAAAGCTTTAATTCCTTCAGCAGTTATTCCATTAGCAGCAAAATTTACTTCTTCAGCAACCTAGAAAAGGAAAAAGCAATGGTACATTAAGAATACAGAGCCAAATCGATAAAAAGTCATGACTTAATCAGGAAAGCCTCATTTACTTGATTTTCTATTCAGGTAATTCAATCTGGATTAAGTCAAAAAGAAACAACCATATATAGCTTATCTAACTTAGTCTTGTCCCCTTAGTCCATTGAGTGAAAAGGTACATCACCTAGTCAAATGTCAATGACAATAATATTGTATAGGGTACATATGTAAATTTAACTTTGAAATTTGCCTATAAAACCAAATATTGCAACTAATATGGGGCTTACATGTGTCTACAATCTACAATTCATATGCAACTAATTGTCAAAACATAAGTCCCTACAAACAACCATACATATATTTTGATTCAATATAACAGTTGTTGGATGATGATTTACTTCCATAGTTTACCCAAAGATTATATAAATCTTGATTACAACTCACAAGTCATAACACTTTCACAAGCTACACATATGCTAATGAATTCCACTCTTAATAAAAGATCTTTGTATAAGAAGATATGAGATGAATTATGCAGGATAAAAGTAAACAAGATTATTGAAATAGTCAAACCTAGTTATAAGCTAAGCTCTCTGCAAGGAAGAATAGTCCTTCATCTCCAAAGTTGCGACCTGCAAAAGATACATGATTTGAATAGTGGTGCTTTACAAGTAGTGTATAAGAAAATGTATGGAAAATAGCTTCATTCGTAGCATCTTATACGGTGTAATTTTGTTAGTACCTGACATGTCAACAATGCTGAATGACCTAACTTCTTTGGAGAAATCATTGAGTCAAAGTTTGGATTCCTTTTCGATATTTGCACCAAAATTTGGTAATAAGTTTGTCCCAGCAGCAAAGGACCATTTTACTCCTTCAGTAGATTTTTTTTCTTGTACAGGAGCTTTTGATTTCTTAGGCATCATCAGTTTCTCCACCAATTTCCACATAACTGTCAGCTGATTTAGGAAATAAAAACAAAAACAGATGGAGAAGAAGAGAACAGTCTTCGTACTTGATTTAGGAAGTAAAAGAATCTTTAAAAATTGAATGTAAGAGAAAGAAATCTAGGGCACATACATGAAGAAGAAGATAAAAACCTTCGAACCTGATGCCTCTTCCGTTTTTGTTTTCTGCATTATGATGCTTCCGATTGTACCTTGAACCTTTGACTTTCGATCCCAAATCTGACTTGCAACCTTCGATTTCTGATGGTTCTAGGGTTTTTATACAAATGGTGGTGTTATTAAACAACGATGTTGGTGCGAAAGAGGGGTGGTGATCTTGCGGTATGTTGTGTCGGTGGTATATTGGGGCTTTATTGGAGACGGTGGTGAACCAGAAAAAAGATGAAGGGTGATGGCTGGTTGTCGAGCAGTAGGGGGTAGAGAGAGTAAATCAGGAGAAGTTAAGCTTAAAAATAAAATAAAACCCTAGCACTTCCTAGATAGAAGGAAGATGGCGATGACCTAGGGTTTGCATAGAGAATAAAGGGAGAGAATGGAAGGAGATCAAGAGGATAGTGTGGAGAAGCAGGCACTTAAATTTTTTAGAATTTTAGAGATTTTTCATTTTCCCCCCTTAAAAACGTGCGTCTAATTAAAAAATTATAAAGCGACATTTCTAGATGACACACATTTAACATTAGCGCCCTCCGTGTTTGTAATTTTTTTTGTTGGACAATAATTTTAGGGCACGCACAAATGCGTGCCCTCTATCCTTCAAATTTTGCAAATCTGACATTATTTTTTAGGGCATGCACGAATGCGCGTCCTCTATCAGCGCGTGTCATTGTTTGCGCATCATTAAAGGGTTGTTTTCTAGTAGTGTAAAACAGTGCAGAAAAATTAAAAACTAGTTAATAGCTTACAACTTTCTTAACACTTTGTAACAAGTTGAGCAAAGTGTTTATCTTTGATGACTTCATATTTTACATGTGTTTTCTGTTAAGTTACATTTAAATAACAGAAATTACTCACTAAATTGTAAGAGACCTTTATCATTACAAACATACAAGATGAAACATAAGAAGTATAGTTGTGCTTTGCTAAACATATTACTTACACATAAAAGGTTTTACTCTCAATACAAATGGGTTTTCATTTACCACATGATAAATTATAATATGTATAGTTTATGGAATTCACATTTCAAACATACTACACAAAAAGGGGATTTCAATTTCCACCATAGAAAAGGTTTTACACGCATACTACACCAAAACTCGTTATCGTAAATTGTGAGACACGACTTCATTGTACTCTTAAAGTACTGGTTAAAATTCCTGAAATAGTTATAACCAGAGTCTCTTGTAGGGAGAGTGTGATAATTGTGTATAGATATATATTGGGGTTGACAACCCACACCCATGTTGCTAAGACAGTCCGATCGGCCAATCAGGGGTGACAAATATCATTTCATTTCCGACGCCTGAAGAACGTCGCGACAAACATCTCTGTTATAGTATGGTTATAGCGACTCACATAGGGAGATAACGATACTTATAGTTTACGGGAATTTCTACTTTTAAAAGGGGTTTTATCTATTTAAAACTTAATACATCGTTATAAGAACGAAACACACATACACTCGGTTTTGGGATTTAAGACTATATAACATTTATTAAGGAAAATAATGGATTTTTCTTGGGTATACCTTACATTTAAAAACAAAGGATTTCAAAATCTACATCCAAAAGCTTATGTACTCACCAACTTAATTGTTGACACTTTTTCAAAATTACTTGTATTCTTTGGAAATCAGTGAAACAGGAAATGAACAGCTTTTGAGGATGGGACGTTAAATCTTCAAACACTTCATTTTTGTCATCATTATGTAATTGAATTTGGAACATGTAAACTCATACTATGGTGTACCTTTTTCAATTATATTTATGATGGTTGTGTTTACTTTGAGCACTATTATACTCTTGTTGTGATACTATACATGAAGTTCGCCACCCCCGGACGTTTCCGTCATCCTAGGTTTGGGGTGTGACAAAAATTCACCAAATTAAATAATCTAAGCCATAAAATTCAAACCATATAAACAAGCTAGTCTACCCTAAACAGAAGTAATGAGTTTTTAACTTATATCTATGGCAAATAACAAACTAAAAAAATCTAATGATTGAAACATGGTTCAAGCAAAAGATTTGTAACGCCGTAAAATTTCAAACAAATTTTCACATTTTAAAAACAATTCAATTCACAATATTATAAACACATTGTTTCTTATATTCCACATAAGTCAAAATCCCAAGATCATTACATATCAATAAAACTCCGCATGTGTGTGCACTGATCATGTCGGCGCTTTCCCGCGATCCTCACTAGTACCTGAAACACATAACACAAAACAATGTAAGCACGAAGCTTAGTGAGTTCCCCAAAATACCACACATAACACATACTAGCCACTTGAGGCAATAACTCTGCGGACATTGGGCCCTAACTTTGTGGACCCTCTGGTCCTGGCTCTGTGAACCTTCCGGTTCTATCTCTGATATACTCTGATATACACGCGGCATAAATCACATAGAAATAATGCAGTGCAAGACATCACATAAATAGCATACAATAACTCTGTCACATAACTCTAATTACCACTCAAGGTAAAGTACAGTGAGAAGACTCACCTCGGATGTCTTAGTAATATCTTGCCCATGTAACACTGATCTAGCCTCTTCCTAAACACATAAACGATCATCTCAATTAATAACGGCTCTCCAAGCTTTAATAAATCCTCACACTTCCTCAAAGAAGGCTAAAAGGCCATTTTACCCCCTTCAAACAGTTCACAAGTCCAATTGTTGACCATACCCTAAAAGTCAACAAAAGTCAACGGTCAACCCTTTGACCAGACTCGCCGAGTGCACAATTGTGACTCGGCGAGTTCAATTATGAACTTAAGTCCTCAAAATCCCCAATGACTCACCGAGTCACTTCCCTAACTCAGCGAGTCACCAACTGTGTGATTCATGGGGGAAAACTATTCTACTCGTCGAGTCTGTTCTTGGACTCGGCAAGTTCATGCCATGCTCAAACTTAAATGACCTCCCGAGGTCAGATATGTTCCTCCAATCTATAGATCTGGCCTTACCAACCACTATAATCACGTAAAGGTCTAGCCTTTACACTCATGCAATGACCAAAAAGCTTCTTTGGGCGAAATAACCCCTAAAATGGCAACCTAGGGCCATATCTCTAATGGAGTAGCAAAAAGCAATGTGAATGGGACTCTCTGGACCTCTTAAGGTCCAAATCTAAGAAGAATCCACCTTGGGACCTCACATAATTCGAATCCAATCCAAAGAATGCACAAGAAAACCCTAGATTCAACTAGAACACCAAATACACGAGTTTGAGCACATATTAGTACCTCTAGTAGCCTCCTCTGATGAAGGGATGATATATATATATATATATATATATATATATATATATATATATATATATAAGCTCTTCAACCTTCCTTGTTTGACCTCCTTCCTTCTTTCTTGCAAAAACACACTTAGAATGATGAAATAGCCCTCCTCTTGCACTACAAGCCTTCTCTCTGCTCTCTAGGGTTTCTCAGGGGTCTGATAGCCGCAAATGGTAGCTAAAAGGTCCTTAAATAGGGATCAGGCCCTGGAGAATTAGGGTTTCATTAAACAGCGTGGACTCGCCGATTCCACGCATGGACTCGCCGAGTCCGCCATTAAATCAGTCCGACCATGCGTGATCCTACTCGGCGAGTCTGAGCGCCTACTCGTCAAGTCCTTCTCCAAAACTCAATATAAATGCATAAAATAAGATACCTGGGAATCCGGATGTTACAATTCTCCCCTACTAGAATCAGACTTCGTCCTCAAAGTCTCATTCCGCAAACAACTTTGGATGCTGCTCACGCATCTCTCGCTCCGGCTCCCAAGTCAGCTCGGACCCTCCCCGATGTTGCCACTTGACCTGCACCAGGGGCACTTCCTTGTTCCTCAAAACCTTGATCTTCTGATCCATAATCGCAACCAGTCTCTCAATGTAGTTCAGGCTCGCATCCACCTGGATATCCTCTAACGGTACCACCGCCGACTCATCGGCCACACACTTCCTTAACTGCGATACGTGGAAGGTGTCATGAGTCTGACCTAACTTCGTAGGTAGCTCTAACCGGTAAGCTACCCTACCTACTCTTGTGATCACCCTGAATGGACCAATATATCGGGGCCTAACTTGCCCCTCTTCCTGAATCGGATCACTCCTTTCCAAGGAGATACCTTCAGGAGAACGAAGTCATCAACTTGAAACTCGAGCTCCGAGCGATGCCTATCCGCGTAGCTCTTCTGACAACTCTAAGTTGTTAGCAGTCTCTGCCTGACCTGCTATATATGCTCTGTCTTCTGGAGGACTATCTCTGTACTGCCCATCACTCGCTGCCCTACTTCTCCCCAACAGATGGGAGTCTGACACTTCCTCCCATACAACAGCTCAAAAGGTAGCATACCAATGCTTGAATGATGGTTGTTGTTATAGGAAAACTCAGCCAAGGGTAAATATGTGTCCCAGCTCCCTCTGAAGTCCAATACACATGCCCGAAGCATGTCCTCGGGCGTCTGAATCATCCGCTCGATCTGTCCGTCAGTCTGTGGGTGGTATGCGGTACTAAAATGCAGCCTCGTTTCCAACTCCTCATGAAATTTCTTCCAGAACCTAGAAGTGAAACGTACATCTCAATCTGAGACGATCGAGATCGGTACTCCATGTCGCGATACCACCTCCCTCACGTACAACTCTGCCATCCTCTCAGCAG